TCCAGAACCGGGAAGTACCCTAGCGACATCAGTTGTCCTCATTGCATGGACAAGGCAACATGGAAAAGGGATGTTTCCACTAGTTCATGGTCTTCTATCTAGATTAAAAAGCATCTGCGGGGGCTTCCCTGGTGGCGCAGTGGTTGAGAGTCCGCCTGCCGATGCAGGGGACACGGGTTTGTGCCCCGGTCCGGGAGGATCCCACGTGCCACGGAGCGGCTGGGCCCGTGAGCCATGGCCGCTGAGCCTGCGCGTCCGGAGCCTGTGCTCCGCAACAGGAGAGGCCACAGCAGTGAGAGGCCCGCGTACCGCAAAAAAAAAAGCATCTGTGGAAACCATGTAAATGTCCATCGACAGATGAATGGGCTAAAGAAGATGTGGTACATATATACGATGGATTACTTACTACCCAGCCATAAAAAAGAATGAAGTAATGCCATTTGCAGCAACATGGATGGACCTAGAGATGATTATACTAAGTGAAGTGAGTCAGACAGAGAAAGACAAATGCCATATGATATCACTTCTATGTGGAATCTAAAATATGACACAAATGAACCTATCTACAAAACAGAAACAGACTCATGGACATAGAGAACAGACTTGTGGTTGCCAAGGTGGAGGGTGGGGAAGGGATTGAGTGGGAATTTGGGATTAGGAGATGCAAACTATTATATGTAGAATGGATAAACAACAAGGTATAGTACAGGGAACTATATTTAATGTTCTGTGACAGATCATAATGGAAAAGAATATATACATGTATAACTGAGTCACTTTGCTGTACAGAAGAAACTAACACAACATTGTAAGTCAGCTATCCTTCAATAAAATTTTTTTTTAAATCTTGTGATAAACCATAATGGGAGAGAATATGAAAAAGAATGTGTGTATGTATAATGGAACCACTTTGCTGTACAGCAGAAATTAACACAGCATTGTAAATCAGCTAGACTTCAATTAAAAATAAATTTAAACTAGAAAAAGTCTCTGTGTTCCTGCTGCTCTCGCCTCTGATTCTCCCTTCAGCTCCTTGAGGTACTCCTTAGCCCCGCGTGGTAGTAAAGGAAACGGAGGCCCAGCCCAGTGAAGTGGCCTGGCCCAGACCCTCAGGTCCTGTGTGGCTGAGCAAGGACAGAACCCAGGACTCCTGACACTGTCTGCCTGGCCCTCCCACTTGCCTTGATGAAATCTGGTTGGCCAGAAATCAAGAAGAAAGTCTCAAAAACAAATGGACTGAAAGCAACCATTGATTTGGAGGCCACACATAGATCTGTCCAAAGAAATGCAGCTAATGTAAATTTAAACAAATAGGAGGACTCTTTTCAGCAGTGACATGGAACATTACAGCAAGGGTTTGAAGATAACCTAGCTTCCAGTCATGATTTACTGTCATCTCCAATAGCGGACCCAAGTGTTCAAGGTCATGGTTCCCTTATAGAGCTTTATCCTCCTTAGTCATCATTTTGCTTTAGTGGGGGGACATTCCTTCTAGCAGATGGCTTTCAGCCCTCCTCTTTGCAGAAGCCTCAGACTCACACACACACACCCATTCGTCTTCAGTGCTCCATCCCCTTCTTTCAGCCGTCCTTCACTGAGTATCGTCATCAACATGTTCTAGAAATGGAATCTACTTTGAAGAGCAGTATCACGGGGAGAGACAAGAAAGTTATGCAACCAAACTATATACCCAACCCAGATAAAGAGAGCAATCAAGGACGTCTTCAAGTCTTGGCTTAGAAGTGGGTTTGCACCCAGTTCTTTTCAAGTTGCCTGCACTGTATCTGTGGCTGCTGCTGATCCAGAGCCACTGGTGGTCCAGCTGGGAATGGACTTGGCATCCACCTGGAGAATTTAAGAATTTTGGTTCCTGTTCCTGTGGGTCTTAGAGTAAGTAAGGTTAAAAAGGTGAACCTTGGAGTCACGTAGTCTAGAGTTGAAATTCTAGTTCAGCCTCTCATCACATGTATGGACCTTGGACAGGTTATCTTATTTCTCCAGCATGTGTCCTTCTCATGTGTAAAACAGAAACACCAACTCTGAACAGCTGCTCTGAAGATTGAGATAATGGACACAAAGTGCCCGGGTTGATTAAAGGTGGTAAGGTAGTCAGAATCTGCTGTGTTTCATGTGACTTAAGTAGCATTGCTAACAAATATCCTATATTATTAACACATATATGTGGAACCTAGAAAAATGGTACAGATGAACCGGTTTGCATGGCAGAAATAGAGACATAGATATAGAGAACAAATGTATGGACCTCAAGGGGGGAAAGTGGCAGGGGTGGTGGTGTGATTAATTAGGAGATTGGGATTGACATGGATACACTAATATGTATAAAATGGATAACTAATAAGAACCTGCTGTATTAAAAAATCAATAAAATAAAGTTCAAAAGGAGCATTTTTATGGCCCTGTGTTACTTGAGGGAATAAATGAGTGGGTGAACAGATGAATGAAATAATACTTCTGCAGACTGAATTTTGTATTTCCCTTCTGAACACACACACACACACACACACACACACACACACACACAAATACATATGCTGAAGCATAATCCCCAGTGTGATATTTGGAGGCAGAGACTTTAGGAGGTGATTAGGTCATGGGGATGGGGCCCTCGTGAATGGGATTGGTGCCCTTCTAAGAGGCCGCATGGAGCTCTCTTGCTCCTTCCACCTTGTGAGGTTACAGGGAAAAGACAGTCATCTGTGGACCAGGAAGTGGGCTCTCACCAGACACTGAATTTGCCAGTACCTTGATCTTGGACTTCAGCCTCCGGAACTGTGAGAAATAAATGTCTGATCCTGACACCACCCAGTGTGTGGTGTTTAGTTATAGCAGCTGTAACGGACTGAGACATACACCAGAAGCTTGACTTTTCTCCCACAGCTGCTCCATCAGTCACTGAGATGTATTTGTCAGGAGCCCTGGTCACAGTCAAAGCTGTGCTCTGGTGGAACACTCTGTAGAAGTTTCTAGGTGGAGTTGTGTGGTGGGCTGCGATTGGTGTCCTACTGCCTGAGTTTGGAGCTAGTGACTGGGGTCTGTCAGTTACCCTCGGGAGATCTCAGGACCCGATCCGTAAAAGGGAGAAAAGAGAACGAGGGAATGACTGCAGAGGGTTACGGAATTAGGAGGAAATCCTTGGAGCAATGCCTGACTGAGAGAGTGTATACCGTGTAAGGGCTGGCGGGTGTTACTTTATTACTACCGCGGCGGGTGTAGTCCTGCACTAGACCTTGTGAAGGTACCAGGAGGATAACAAATGGCTCTCAGTCCAGTGTCCTGTCCCATCAGCTGGTGGAGACACGAATGGAAGAGATGGTAGGAGCCAGGTGGGCGGGGCTGTCACCCAGGAAGAATTCTCATGAGAGAGAAGCCATTGTGGCCCGGAGTATATAGGGATGAGCCCATGCGATGGGGAGTCCGGCCAAGAACCCACTCGGTCCTGCTCCATCCATTGACCTCAGATTTTTCTAGTCTACCCCTTGCCGGAACATGAGTGATAAAAGCTTAGAGATTAAGACCGTGCACAGGGTGGCAGAGACTCGGGGGGATAGAGTCATTGGTTAACACAGGGGTGGGTGGTTCTGTTCTGGCAGGAGTGGGTAGGGGAACGGAGGGCAGTGAGAGAGAAAACAAGTTAGAGGGAGAAGGGAAGGCTGACTGCAAAGGGCGTTCGTTCATGTCCTTCAGAGAGTAAGAGCAGAGGGACTCTGCGGGGAGAGCCTCCGAGGTGCTCTCCTATACAGTCTAATTTAGGGGGTTACAATGCATAAAGAAATGTACACAAGTTAATAGCAGCTGCGGTGCTGCTCCTGAAATAGGTACCAAGTGTCTGTTTTATATATTCTTAATAATGAGACCACGAGCGGCAGGTGGGCTGAGCAACAGGGATTGGAGAGAGAAAGGGACGCAGATGCAGACAGAGCTCTTCTCGCCTGAGGGAACCTTCCCATCTGCTGAGCATTTTGTTCATTGCAAAGGCTGGTTGTGTTTTGGTAACGAAAGGCAGAAGCACGGAGGATGTTGACTCTGATGGAGGACGGGGGGCCCGCTGGGTTGATGAATGTGAGTGTGGCTCGAGAGGCGGGGAGACCCCCGCCAGCCACCCGCCAGCACGTAGGATGAGCCAGGGGTGATGGGAGGGCGCTCGTGGCGGAGACACCTTGGGAGTGGGCTGCCCGGGACCCACACAGGTGAGGGTCTGACAGAGCAAAAGGCAGCCTGAGCCTCGGACCCGCAGCCCTGTCCCCCATGGCCCCGCAGCTCCCCCTGCCCTGCCCCGTGCCCTCCTTTATTGAAACAGGCATTGTTTGCGACGTGCAGTCACCGTCCTGACTTGCCTCCCGACGTTTGCATGCAAGCAGCTCCATCCACACCTTACCTGCGAGCCCCTTTCACTTGCCCAGTGTTGTCAGCAACCTCCCACAGAGGCACGTGCTGAGGGGTGCTAGGGGAGGGAGGGGGAAACCCCGCACCTCTTAGCCAAGGGGCTCGCCCAGTTTTTCGGTAAAAGGACCCAAGGCCACACCACTGAGTCCGGACCAACCTCTTTTTCTTCGGACAGTTGGTGGTGAGATTCATGTGCCGTGAGCACTGCAGGGAGGGTGCAGGCAGACGTGAGCCTGAACTTCTGGGAGGAGCCCCGCAAAGCCAGGCCGAGAGCTCCGCGGTCTGACTGCTGTAACAGCAACCTTGAACCCGGGCCGACACGGGCCTGTTTTGCTTTTAAAACGCGGAAAGGGCTCTACCTTTACAGCTGTTTCCCGTCCCGCGCAAGCAGAGGCCTGCCTTGGTCTGCGTCTCTCCCTCTCGCTGCCGGATCCTGCCCACGACACCCCACATCGCAGGCCGGGCATCCTCCGGCCACGTCCCTTCCGCTATTAAGCGCATTGACATCAGCGGTGCCGCCTTCTAGGTCTCAGTGGCTGTGCCTTCCGCCCTTGGTCCAGGCTTCACGGAACGCTGGCCTCCCTGTCTTGCTGCAGGTTTTTCGCACTCGGCGTTCACGTTCGGTATCGAGAGCCACATAAGCCAGTCCAACATCAATGGGACTCTCGTGCCACCGGCTGCCCTCATCTCCATCCTGCAGAAGGGCCTGCAGTATGTGGAGGCCGAGATCAGCATCAACGAGGTACGTGCACCCCCGGGGCGGGCCCAGGCCGCGCGCGCGCGCACACCCTGGATCGCGCGCGCGCTGGGAAGACGCGTCACCTTAGCACACGGTTCCCCGCCATCTCTCACGGTCGGTTAGGGTTCCTTCTCTCTTTGCGGTAAATACTTTCTTCAGTGGGGGATGGCGCTTCTGTTGTACCCAAGGAGCAATCTTCTGAGGCCCTTCAGGTGGTTGTGTCGTTTTCCATATCCATGCGCACATCGCCGGCTGTGGACTGACGTCACACTACGTTGCCAAATGGGAAAAACACGCAGCAGATCCGCAGCTGCTTTATACGCTCATCCCTGGGTATGCACCGGGGATCGGTTCCACGACGTGCCGCAGGTACCAAAATCCGTAGTGCTCAGGTCCCACAGTTGGCCCTCCTGTATCCGCAGATTCCACATCCGCGGGTTCTACCAGCCGCGGATGGTAAACGTAGTAGTAAATGTGTTGGGGAAAAAAAAAAAAATCCACGTATAGTGGACCTTGTCAGTTCAGACCTGTGTTGTTCAAGGGTCAGGGGTACTTCAGGACAGGTGTGGGCCTTGCACGTGCACAGAAAACGCCCTCCCCCCTGGAATATTTTGAGCAGTTCAGTCGAAGAGGGATCCTGGGAAACATTTGCCTAGAATCTGTGCTTCGTGTGGACCCGACAGAGGGCACAGCCAGAGACCACAGAGGACAGATGAGGACTGTTGTGTTCGAGAGGATTCCAAGGGATGGTTTTGTTACCCGTTAAAGAGCTGCAGGGAAAGGGGGCAGTTGTATCCATAATTGTAAATTTAAGTCACTCCAATTTGTTTGTGTCCCCTCCCTCTTTATAGATTGGGGCACAGTGTTCCCTCCCTCTTTATAGATTGGGGCACGGTGAGTCCTTGGGCCAACTTCATACCAGTTTTTAAATGGGCTCTTTTGGTTGAAAACAGTGCCCATCTCCCCTGTTCTGTTTTGCTCTTGGGATCGTCCTGTGAAGATGCCCGGGGCCTCCTGTGATGTCCGAGGCCTCCCTTGCATCTCAGTCTGAGCCCCTCTTGCTTTCACCGCACTTTCAGCCGTCTCGCCTTCTTTCTGCCCTCGTTTCTCCCACCTCGGTCTGGCACGCTGCTCTGCTCCAACTTCCTGTCTCCTGTCACGGTCCATCCTGCACAGCTGACGCCGTCCACTGCCCACATGCCCCTCTTTACCACCAAGTGTCCCCTTCCCGGGCCACACCACCCTCGGGCCCGTCTTCCTGAACCCTTCCAGTTTCCTCCATCCCCTCTCCCTCTGCACTGCTCTCACCCTTACAAGCCTGTCTTTTTTTTTTCTTTTCTTAACATCTCTATTGGAGTACAATTGCTTTACAATGGTGTGTTAGTTTCTGCTGTATAACAAAGTGAATCAGTTATACATATACATATGTCCTCATATCTCTTCCCTCTTGCGTCTGCCTCACAAGCCTGTCTTATGCATAGCATTTAACTCCACTTTCTCTTCAGCTTTTAAAACTACGGAAGGAATGTATCTTGTGTTCTGTCACGTGTATTCCCCTGCTGTTTTCCAAAACCCCACATCCTTAAAAACACCTGAGTGTCTGCCTACCCTGTGCTCTTTCTTGCCTAACAACGGGCAGTCTCCTCTTTCCTTGTCTTACATTGGGTGCCTGGGATCTTCCACCAGCAACTTGAGGCCCCGTCGCGTCTCTCTTTCCACAAAACAAACAAGTGTGGGGATAGGGTTACAGGACCCCAGAGGCCCCACCGGCTCTCAGATTGTGTGATGCTGAGTGAGACTGGATTTCCCTTCCCCCTGCCCCTGCGGCCCCCTGCCCCAGTTTCCACGTCTTTCATCCGCGGAGAAGCCCCCATACCTTCTCTCCCTTGGCAGTTCAAAGTTCGGTGTGTCCAGAGGAGAACGAAAGGTCATCTCATTTGTCACTTAGGTTTCGGGTAGTTAAAAGTGAGACAGTGTGCTCTTAGAGCTTAAACTAGAAGGTTTTTTGTCACCCTGGGCAGTTACAGCCTTTTGCAAAATCATCATCCGTTTGGGGCTTGAATATACGAAGAAGGAAGGTGATGTAGAAGCCGGCTGACCAGTTGGTCAGCACTGGCCCCTCCATGGCTGGAACCCGGGCAGATGCTAAGGTGACTGGCTACTTTTTCCCATGTTCTCTATTATTTTCTATTGTTTCCCTTATTTTCAAGTATTGTATAGTAACCTGTAGTCAGCTGGGGTGATGTTCCGTTCACACACTGTGTTGCTGAAACTTAGGTCCTTCGGTTCTTCCTGATTTGTGAGAAAACAGGCTAAAACGTGTTTGCACATCCCGTAGACACACTGAGGGGCTCTGAGTTTCGTGTGAGTGATATTTGGAGCGCTTTCTAAGGAAAGCACTCCCTCCTGTGTTGCTAAGTGTGTATGGAAATGTTTTCATTATCTGTGGAAGCCAGAGACCCCAAGGAAGTTCGGGAAATAGGAATTGTCACTAAACAATGCTGTTGTTAGAATATCATGGCTGTGTTAGCCTGTGCCCTGATCCCAGGAAGCCATTTCAGATGGTAGCAGGTGTGTGTGTTTTAGTGCATCAGGCGGACAGATTAACATTCGGAATCAGATCGTGAGCGGTGCAGGAATGTCTGATTTGGGCCTGCGGTCTCCGAAGAGACGTCTGTCCTATCAAAGGGGAGCGGTTCCACACTTGTCAGAGCGCCTGGGCGGGGTTTCCCACCCTCGGCACTCTTGACACTTGGGGGCCAGATCATTCCCTGCTACGGGGCCGTCCTGGACCCTGGGGGGTGTGGAGTAGCGTCCCTGGTCTCCACCCACTAGACGCCAGGAGCACCTCCACAGTCGTGACAACCAGAAATGCCTCCAGACTTGACCACATGTCCCCCGAAGGGGTAACATCACCCCCCTGTTGAGGACCAGTGCCTCAGGGGTAGCCCTGTTGTCATGACGGGAAGTATCCGGATTCAGGTTGGTATTTACCGAGTGCTGGGTGCCCTCTGGCAGCAGCAGGCACACCGGGCCCTCTATGGACGCTCACTCTTGCCGGCCCCTACCCGCCTGCGCGCTCCGGGATCCCTTGCCCTGGCTCAGGACGCCCGGTCCGGCCCCGCCTGCTCGGCGGCCCCGCGGCTCCCGGGATCCTGCGTGCCTGTCCCCGACGCGCACTTGTCTCGCTGGGAGCTGACATCTGTGCCTGGGCTCTGTCCGCAGGACGGCACGGTGTTCGACGGCCGCCCGATAGAGTCGCTGTCCCTGATTGACGCGGTGATGCCCGACGTGGTGCAGACGCGGCAGCAGGCCTTCCGGGAGAAGCTGGCGCAACAGCAGGCCAGCGTGGCGGCCACGGCGGCGGCGGCGGCCCCGGCGGCCCCGGCGGCCCCAGCGGCCGTTTCCCAGCAGAACCCACCAAAGAACGGCGAGGCCACGGTGAACGGGGAAGAGAACGGAGCGCATGCGATAAGTGAGTGCGGGGCTCCAGAGCTTCGCGCTCCGGCAGCTTCTCCCTCGTCTCTGAGTCTGGGCAAGTCCTGCAGACCCCTTCCAGGCCTGCCTGCTGGGCGGTGCGTATGTGGCAGCGTCTAGGGCTTGCTTGCTCTGTGGCCAGGAGGGCTTCGTGCTCTGGTTTCTCACTGAGATCCTTGGACACAGCGTTCTTTACTTACACGTCCTCAGCTTTAGGAGGTTGTGCTACTCTGAGAACTCATTTGTTCCACCTTGTGATGACTGTCGGGCACAAAAAGGAGGCCCCCGCGCCGTCCTCCGGCCTCGCGGACAAACTCTGACCTGACACTCGGAGCTCACGGTCACTGACAGGGCGCCCGACACAGACAGCAAGTGCTGTCTTATTTGGTGGTTGCAGCCTCGCCCCTGTTAGGTAATGGCCCTGAAGCGTCTGGCAGACAAGTCGGAGAGCATGAATCTTTACCCAGGGAACCTGCCGGCACTTTGACACGCGGCTTATCAACTCGGAGACGGCTTCAGGGTCTATGCTCAGGGTGTGTGTGCGCGTTGCGCACGTGCGTGTGAGTGTGTGCATGCGTGTGTGTTCTGCCTCCTTTGAAAATCATTTCCCTCCGAGCAGCCATGCCGCCCCTGCGGGGGCAGCTCATCCCCCCGCCCTGGCACAGGCCCTCTCCCGCTAGAGTCGAGATGCAGCGCCAGCACTGCGCGGGAAGCCGGGGCAGGCTGCAGCGTGGGTTATGTTACAGCAGGGTGGCTTAAAGCCCATCTGTCTAGCGTCCGATGAAAAGACCTCCCGCCGGCGGGCCCCATGATCACTGTTAACGAGGTCCAAGATGATGGGACAGGGAAAGAAGAAGAAAAAATAGGTGGCTTGTACCCACAGGTCATTTATGGGCTGCCCACTCCCGTGGGATACATCCCTCAAGGCGCCAAAAATAAAGAAAACAGGAAGGAGGTACGTGTCCTTGTCTTCTTAGGCTTCCGCCCCAGGCAGCGATCATAATTGGTGAGCTCTGAGAAACCTCTATATCTGCTGAGACAGAAATTTTGCAAACTTATAAATTGCACCGTGTATTTTAAATCTTAACCTCTAAGGGTGTGTGGCCACGTGGAGACCGTCGCATGCCTTAAGGAACGCTGGTGGCTGGCAGGCCTTTGTTTCAGGAGTCCCTAAGCGTTACTTTTCACCCGAGGGCTGGCCGGCACCCCATCCCACGTACACCGTCCGGTGGTTTCCGACTCTCACCTTGTTCCGGAAACTAGTCCCACCTGCTCTTTGCTCCCATCTTGCTACAAGGCAGGCTGTGGCCTGAATGTAGTCTCTGAAGTGATAGTTCATTCTGATCTTCAAGAATCTTTTTTCTTGTGCCACATAGGGGGAAAACGGCCACTACCCAGGGTGAATCTCCTCTGGGTGGCACTTAGCATAGCCTGTCGCCCTTCCAGAGCCTGGACCCTATGGGTCATCTGGAGGGAGGACTGCTTGGGTTCAGAAACCTGGTGGTTCTGCTTGGCTTGAAAAGCATGGTACGCAGACGACTCCGGTCAGAAAATAGCACTTGAGTCCCTAGACTCTGAGGGGTTGAGGGTAGCAAGCTTCCGGCAGAATGATGGCATGCCCCCGTGGTAGCTTCACAGGTAGGGAGCTTCATAGATAAGCACCTCACAAGGGTGCTTCCGGGTAAGACCTGTTGTCCCGTCAAGAGAAGGAAGCTTCCGCCTGCTCAGGAGCCAGCTGGCTGTCATCTTTTCTGTCCAGTCGTCTTCTGGCTGTTGTTAGAAATTAGCCTCGCCCTAGTTATAGAGAATAAATAACCAGTTTTTATTCCTCTGTCAAATTTGGAGACTGTAAAGAAATGTCACCTATCTACTAAATTACACAGAACCCATGATTTGGTTGTAATCGCCATGGGTGACGGCAAAGGAGGTTGTTTGTAAAACCCACGTGCCCTGAGGATGTTTCCTTGGTATCCCTCAGACCTGTGTCTTTCCCTGTTTCCTGTGACAGATAATCATTCGAAACCAATGGAAATAGACGGAGACGTGGAGATTCCACCCAACAAAGCCACAGTCCTTCGGGGCCATGAGTCTGAGGTGTTCATCTGTGCCTGGAACCCTGTCAGTGACCTCCTGGCTTCCGGGTAAGGGTGTCCAGCTGGGGGTGCCCAGGGTCTGGGTGTCCGAGTTCTCCCTCACAGGACATGCGCTCCCCCTCCGTACCTTGTTGGTGGCATCTTCCCAGTGAGTGCAGACCAGGGCTTGGGGCGCCCCGAGTACCTCAGGCTGTGCAGAAGTGCCCGGTCCAGCCGTTTTCTCAGCGGGCTGGGGAGCAATGCACAGACATTTCAAATTACTAAGTGGAAAAAAAAGGTCGGGAAGAGAAAACCACTGTGAGTCAGCGATATCAAAAAGACGGAGGACCCCGTGCCGAGGATGCCCGACCTAGCCAGACAGCAAGTAATGATGAGCATTGCTGGCCCTGGGACCGGAAGCTGAATGCTGTGTGTGTTCCTTGCACAGATCTGGAGACTCAACCGCGAGGATATGGAACCTCAACGAAAACAGCAACGGGGGCTCCACGCAGCTCGTGCTGAGGCACTGTATACGGGAGGGGGGGCATGACGTCCCCAGTAACAAAGACGTGACCTCGCTGGACTGGAACGTAAGCCTCCGCCACCGCCCAGACACTCGAACACCTGTAAACCACAGCGAGGGCCGCCGTGATGCTGACGGAGCCGGGCAGACGCAGGAGGGGGCAGCATTGTTGGTCAGCCCACCCTGGGGGGCTGGCCCCCGTTTCTGAGCGCTCCTCCCGAGGCCCTCCGTGTTGGCGGACCTCTAGCTGGGTATTCAGTAGCCACACGTTGGCAGGATGGAGTCTGGTGGTTTTATCGGGGAACCCGTTCTGCTGGCGCTCTGTGAGTTGTCACGAAGGAAAGATGATTTTCCACCCTGACGCTTCAGCACCTGTGTTACGTGCATTTAATACGTGAGAGACACAGAGCTCTTTGACTTTTTTTTTTTTTCTGATTGGAACATCTTTTGATTTTCTTGCCCTTTATCATGTTTATGCATATTCTGTCATTTCACCACTCTTCCCTATTTGCACATATTTTTAAGAGCTCACCTAAGTCTCCAGGAGTCTCACGATATAACTTTTCGTATCGTATTTTTATGGACGTCGTCAGTGGTGAGGGGTTGCTACGTGTTTTCCTTGCCCCCTCGCCTCCTTGATGGTTGTATGCGGGGAGCCTGTTTGGTCTCACGTTTTAATTGAAGGGCAGTGCGAGCTAAAGTAGGCCAGCGTGACTGGTGAGTCTCGTGACTGGGAACCTGTTGTTGGCATCAGGGTGCAGCCCGGGGATAATGTGAGGGGCTCTTTCCCACTGCTGCCCCTACTAAGCTGCTTCTGTTGGTCTGTGTTTCTCTCTGGCCTGCAGAGTGACGGCACACTGTTGGCTACAGGTTCCTATGATGGTTTTGCAAGAATATGGACGGAAGATGGTAAGTCCTGACGCCCTTGTGTTGGGGTCGGAGAGGAGGTGCTTGGCTTGTCATCATCCGGTGAACAGACTGAGGCTCGGAAGTCACCCCCGCTTGCTGTGTTTGTGTTTTACGTACCAGGTAACCTGGCCAGCACCTTAGGCCAACATAAAGGCCCCATCTTTGCCTTGAAATGGAACAAGAAGGGGAATTACATTTTGAGTGCTGGAGTAGACAAAGTGAGTGTTTGCTTAAGATACATTACTGTGATCTGTAGATGCTTGTTTATGTTTAATCTCAGATAACATCATGCTTTCTATGAATTCTGAGAATTCTGCCTCCCGTTAAGAAATCAGAAGGCTCTGTTTTGTTCGTTTCTGTGGTTTTGGTCTTAGTGTTCATTTCTAGCACGTCGTGTCTTAATGTACCGTAGACCGCTCTACAGACCTTTATCAAAGCTCTCCCCCGGCCCGTCACACCTTTTACCTTGAGGTTCATAGTTCACTGATAGAAAGAAGAAAATCCCCAAATTGCGTTTGTCCACTGCTTGAAGAAGCCCACTGGCGTGGGGTGTCCTCTGCATAAACTTGCCCCACCCGCCCAGAGTGATCTTAGGAACACAAACGGTTTTCTCTCCCCAGGCTTCCGTTTTCCCAATCTGACGACTTGTTGCTTTGCGCTGTAGACCGCAGGCTTCCCTGAGGGCAGGAGTAAGGTAGACACCCATGCGAGGGGCGGGGCTCACTGGGATGATGTGGCCCTTTTCACAGGGGGGGAAATGGAGCCCCAGAGAACTTCACTAATTTGCCTCGGGACACATTGGTATAAAGTCGGATTGGAAGCTCAGGCCCTGGACACCAGTAACAACCGCCCTGTAGCTTTCACACTCTCCCAGAGAATTCTTTGCATCTTCAGGTCCTCCCTGCCCCTGAGGCCGTTTTTTATAATCATTTTGGATTTTCTACCTGATTATCTTCTGTTTCCACCAGGCGATGAACTGGATGGTTAGTGGAAATGCACATTTGGAATTCTAGTAGCCTCTGAGTCAAACACTATCTACCATGATTAGTCAACCATGGCAGGCGTAATAGTTACTTTCTGTAAAGTGATATATTCTCGGGGAGGAAATGTAATTTAGGGATGTGGACTTTGACCTTCAGTGCGAGCTTAACCCAAAGTGGCTAAAATGTACTTCAGTTTCTTGAAAGCTTTTGTGTAAGGAATACTTTCTTTTGCCCAGTGTATATTTAACGTTAAAACATCAGCAAGTTGTTACGATTATTGATGGTAGTAGGTGAAATTGTATCAGAATTGTGGAAGGGCTTACATGTTCTCTGCCTTGCCAGATTTGTGAGTGGCTCAATTAAGAAAAAAAGTTATACTCCATCAAACAAAAAATTGTTGGGAATTCCCTGGCAGTCCAGTGGTTAGGACTCCGCACTTTCGCTGCCAAGGGCCCGGGTTCAGTTCCCGATTGGGGAACTAAGATCCTATATAAGCTCTGCGGCGCGGCCCCCCAAAAAAACAAACTGTTAATTGGTCTAGAGCTGACCGAAAGTTTCAGAGATACTCATTGCTCTGAGTACTTCCTCTGAAAATTACCGCTGTTGATACGAAATAGAACTAGTTCTTCTTAAAGTAAAATCTTTATTAAACGTCATTGACAGGGAGGTGTAAAGGTTCCAATTCAGTTGAAAATTCCAGTTGATTAAGAACTAATTCCAGTGGTCTTCATCGAGCTGCCAGATGGCTTCTTCCCTAAGTGTCTCCTAACATTAGTACGTTCGTAAGCATTTGTGATTTACTTTGTTTTCCGGGGAGGAGATCTTTTTTTTTTTTTTTTCTCCTTATATATAGACCAATAAATCAGTGCCAGACCCCAGTGTAACCCAATTCTCTACTCTGTCTAGTGATCCCAATTCATGGAGTGAGTGACGGTCAGGGGAATTTTCAGAAATACCCATTTCTGCAGCTTTTCATTGGGAAAAGTGCCAAAAAGGTGTTTATCGTTACAGTTTTTTCAATAGTTTTTCATGTTTGGGGATAAGGGGGATTTCCCACCAAAACTGGTAGTTTTGCGAGTATCAGTTCCAGCCGCTGTGTCTGGTGGAGTAACCAGCGCATGTGGCCAACTTCATGAGTGTGACCCTCCGGATCGTTAAGTGTGTAAGAGACACCCTGGATTCCAAAGACACGGGTGAAAAAGAGAATGCCAGATATCTTGTTGATACGAGTATATTGATCTTATGTTGAAACGATAATATTTTCGCCATGCTGGAGTGAAGTAAATTTTGTTAAAATTAGTTTTACTGGTTTCTTTTTTAATTTTTTAGTGTGGTGACTGAAAATTTTAAACTTCCTGTGTGACTTGCATGCTATTTATATACTATTTATTGGACAGTGCTGCTTTAGAAAAAAGAGGGGTTCACTGCATTTTCTTGTATCATAAATTTTTCTAGAGAAAACTTTGCAAGAAGAATAGTAACTAACTTTTTTTTTTTTTTTTTTTTGCGGAGCACAGACAACAATAATTTGGGATGCCCACACAGGAGAGGCCAAACAGCAGTTTCCGTTTCATTCCGGTGAGTATTTTTTAAAATTTCCCTTTTTATTCTTTGTCATTCAAAAATAATAATTCAGAGTCCTAGGAGGAAGCGCTGCTCTTGAGGTCTCCAACATACAGATACCCTCGGCGCTCGTTCGCTGAAAAGTTTCGTTACACAGCTGCGAACCAGCCCCAGAACTGATGTGGGCTCCTTTCTGTTGCTGCCTCAAGGGCGCTGTGTCAGGGGCATCCCTAAGACCTCGCCCAGCTTCAGCAGTTCACCCAGGAGGACTCCCAGGGCATGCAGCTGAATTCATAGCTCAGATGTATTACACTAAAAGGATACAAAGCAATGTCAGCAGAGGGCAAAGGCACGTGGGGCGAGATCCAGACCTTCCAAAGATTGTCTCCTGATGGAGTCGCGTAGGACATGCTGGGTTCCCCCGGAAGCAAGCGGTGATCATGCGTGTGAAAGGTCGTGTGAAGTCAGCGGAGCCTGGTGCCCAGCATTTCTGGTTCGTAGGCACCCTGTGCCCGCCTGCACCCGAATTCTTCACTCCCAGGAGGAGCGTGGGATTCAGTATAAACCACGTTGTTTGCACAGACGGTGGAGGCACAGAAGCTGTTCTTACCAGTTAGGGCATGGTGGGAAATCCGAATTCCCAGACTCGGGCCGACGCCATCCTTGCCGCCAAGCCTTCCTACAGGGAGCAGCGTCAGGCCTGCAGTGGTCTTGCCTGCACGGATGTGTAGCTGCTGTTCTCGACCACACACGTCTGTGTGTGTGTTGGGTCCTCACCAGGCCACGTGGGGCAGCCAGGGGTCTAGGGAGTCCAGGTTCCCAGATTCCCACGTGATGCTTCATGTTCCGTGTGACTGAGTCCTGTTGTTAGATGTGGTCTCTTATCTTAGGACAGAGGTGGAAACTAATAAACTGTTAGGAGAAGCTGGCTTGAAGTCGACAGCAGGGCGTAGATGCCGCTTCCCTTCACGGGAGGCGTCTGCTCCATTGAGAGGGAATCGCTGAGTGTACAGGGTGAACATTTTACTGTGTCAGGTGGCCCCGGGACAGTGTTTAGGAGGGGATCAGAGGGTCTTTCCTGCTGGGTATTTCTGGGTGCCTGGTGATGGTCTGAACCAGAGGACTGGCCCCGAGGACTCCCCAAGATGGTGCATCTCCTCCGTGCCCAGGGAGGGCTCCACGCGGGGGACATGGTCCTGCAGGGAGCAGACTAAGAGGAAAGGTCCCGACAAGGCCTTGACGCGACTGTGACACATGCGTGGACGCCAGCATCTGTTACTCCACGCGGCACTCCATTCCCTCCTGACGGAGGCAGACCTGGGAGGCGCCAGCTTGCACCCCGCTACCCTGGAGAGGCAGCCCATCTCTTCCACGGCTGTCCTTGGGACCACACCGGAGACACCTGCTGGGGCTGCCAGTGAATTTTCTTGTTGCTTTAATCTGATACCATTGATGATGTGGAAGTTGGTGGACGTTTTATAGAATATATTTCCCCACGAGGAAATGGACAGGGCTCCAAGAGCAGGCAGCTTGGCATCCCAACCTGTGTCTGTGTCTGTGTGTGTGTGTGTCTGTGTGTGTGTGTATGTGCCTGTGTCACTGTGTGTGTGTGTTTGGAGCGGGCAGAATATACAAAGCATTCACCACTGTCTAGTTGCACAACATTTCTGTCATCCCACAAGGAGACCCCTTACCCATGAAGAACTCACTCTCCATTCCCCCTTTCCCCAGTCCCTGGCACCCCAGTCTCCAGGTTTTGATCTGTGTGTGTCGTCTCCATGTCAGACTTCTGTGCTGTAGACTCTGCAGACCAAACAAAGCAAGTGAGTCTGGTGGGTTTCCATCGTGTTTGGCATAAATCCCAAGACCATCCCTACCTTTGCTGTCGGGACGGATGCAGTGACAGGGCAGAGGCGTAGAACCCCAGGTGTGCTGACTTCCGTGCTCACGTGGTGGGGGATATCTGTGATGAAGAGAGCTCTGGCTTCTGTTTTTCAGAGAATGATTTGCCCAAAATAGCCATCAGTAAGGTTCGTCTAACAGTTTTATCTTAAGAATTCGTGTACCAAGGCTTCCAGCGGAAATTCGTATTCCCAGAGCATTCCCAAGGTCCGTGGAATGGCTTTCCATCCCGCAGACCACATGTCTCTTGTGTCCTGAGAGAGCTTCTCACCTGCGGTGTTGCTGCCCACGAGGTCGACCCATATCCCATTGGTGGGGCAGGAAGCTCTGTGTGTTGTTTGCTCTTGCTTTGTAGTGACAAGTGGTGTGGTAGAGACTGTCCAGGATGGAAGGAAAGAAAGGGTGCTGTTTTTCAGGATGAAGCGCAGGCAGGGAGAGCGGTAGGGGCACCTTTCCTTAGCATTTGATGGGTTGATCTGTGAAACCGCCTTGCCCCATAGGTGTTCGCCAGGAAGGGCTGGTGGGGCGCGTCCGCTGTTTACCAACAGCAGGAGGTGTCAGCTCAGAGCCTAACGGCGTTCCCCCGCTCAGCAGTGACAAGGAACAGTTACCAATCGACTATTGATAACACGCGACGGCTTGGTTAGGTTCTCAAGGGGGTTCTGCCGCGTGGAAAAAGCCCGTCTGCAAGGGTCACATGCTGGATGACGCCATTGACATAACATTCTCGAAATGACGAAATTTTAGATGTGGAGCCGGAGTTGAGGGGTGGTCCAGGGAGGGCTTTGTGTGCTGATAACGAGGCACAGGGAGGTCCTCGTGGTGATGGAACAGGGTTCTGGATCTTGACTGCGGTGGTCGTTACACAGGCCTGCGCGTGTGATCAAACAGTGCCGCACTGCACACACGTGGCGCGCGTTCACCTTCTGGGTCTGGGTGTTGTACTGTAGGGGGCATAAAATGCCACCAGTGGGGGAAGGGTACAACGTGGGGCCTCTCTATTACATCTCTGCAGCGTCCTGCGATTCTGTAAGCATTTCAAAATTAATTTTTTTTTAAAAAAAGAGCGAAGTAATGCTTGGCTGTACCTAGACTGCTGCTGACGGTCAAACCTCATTGGCCAAGTGTGGGCAGGGAGGCCACACAGACCCCCAGAATAGCTTAGCCCTGTTACCTGTCCCCACCCACACTGGATGGTGAGCTCCTGGGGGGAGGGCAGGGTCCTGGCAGCAGCATCGACACAGAATGGGGCCAGACACCTGAGTACACAGCATCCTCCGTTTAGGTGGCAGGGGTTCAGCGCACGTTAATTCTTAGCGGCCAGGTGCTGGTCACCAGCCCCCGAAACGCCCGCCAGATGGTCCCTCTTGCAGGCGCATTAATTGCACACCCCACTGCAGAGGCTGGCCCGGGAATTCGTGATTTGGCTCCTGCAGTGTCGTAAACAGCAGCAGCTGTGGCTTTGCTCTTCGCTCTCCGGCTCCCGGGAACATCCTTCTGACCAAGTGGGTCCGGTTCCTTTGTTCCACTGGGCACACGTGGGAAATGCAGCAGAAACCGTGGGCCCGTGCTGAACAGCTCTGCAGGGGGTGCGACACACAGAGATGCACGCCCTGGGGTGTTGAAAAAGCCTGCTGCCTCCCGGCCACATCCTCCCACCCGTAGCCTCTGTGTGGGGACAGAGCTGGACGGGGAGCCAAGGGGATCCAGCCCTGCAGCTGTGGAAGGCCGGCGCGTGTGCACGGGTGCACCTCTTACTTTAAGGCTGAGCACGGGAGGGGCAGTCCGAGTTAGCGTATCCTGAGGAAGCTGGATTCTTCTCCCGATTCAGTGCTGACCTGCCTGTAAGAAACACAACGTGGGACATGGTTAGGGATCGATCTGTCGATGAAGATCTCACCAGGGGCTTGCTTGCAGGACTTAACCCTCTGTTGGTCCAGAAACAAGGAAGTGTGTGGAGAGAACAAAGATGCTGAGTAGTCTCTCGGGGAGGTTGGGAGAAGGGAAGAGGGCCGTCACCATCCCCCAAACCTCACAGAGCTCTTGGAGCCACTTGCCCCTGAGAAAGGCCCAGGAGCCAGAGGCAGTGTTCACCATAAGGTCACTTGTGTCCCCTCAGGCTGTCCGCTTGTCAACGATAAGCATCCTCCAGTTGATGGAATGCATTAATTGTGTGGTGGGGGATTTTTTTGGGCCGCGGCACGTGGCCTGCGGGATTTCAGTTCCCCAGCCAGGGATGGAACCCGGGCCCTCGGCAGTGAGAGCACGGAGTCCTAACCGCTGGACCACCAGGGAAGTCCCTGTGAGAGATTTTCTCAGTGCGGATACCTTGAACGTAGGATATGAAATCTTTTTCCTCTCCTCTCTATCTAAAACAAATCCAATCAGGCCAGCACAGTGATATTCCTGGGAGCGGCAAGGTGCGGGAGAAGACGGCGTGCTTCTCCCCTACCCTGTCTCACCTGTGCCAGGGGAGCAAGAGACTGCGCTTATGCCACCCGAGGTGTCACGGGGTCTCGCTCCGGAGGCCTCTGGGCATCCCTCCAAATGTGAAGGACAGACTTTCAGGTCTGTGGGGGACAGAGGCTGTGTTCACACTGGGGGTGCTGCTTTATCTTGTCCTTAGGCATCTTGACTGTGCTGTTACTTCTAAGTCACCTGAGCTCTGTGCACAACTGCTAAATGCAAATGTTCCCCCCTGACCATTTGCTGCTCCACAGCCCCTGCCCTTGACGTGGATTGGCAGAACAACACTACCTTTGCTTCGTGTAGCACAGACATGTGTATCCACGTCTGCAGACTCGGCTGTGACCGCCCGGTCAAAACGTTCCAGGGACACACAGTAAGTGCGGGTTCTGACTGTGGGGCTTAGGTTCATGCGAATGTGCTGGGAGCTGGGAGCTGGCTCCTCTCTGCCTAGGGTTAAAGGATACTGTGACTGCAGACCAGTTCTTGTGCAGCCCACTGCTCCTTGGGCTGTTGTAGCTATCTCAGGTGATTGGCTAACCCAGTTATCCATCTGGGAAGGCAGTGTAAAAAAAAAAAAAAAAAAGTGACCTGTGATGAGCCAGATGTTGGATTTTGCAGGAAAGACTGTAAAGTAGCTATTTTTAGACTATATGAGGAAATAAGGAAAGGCTCTTTGTAATGAGTGAATAGACGCGGAAGGGCAGCAGAGGAAGGAAAACTGTTCTTAAAACAGTCAAGCGGAAATCTCAGAATTGAGAGGTAGAATGTCTAAAGTGAAAATCTTAATGGATGGTGGAGAGATTGCAGAAATAAGGTTAGTAAACCTGAAGAGAGATCACAGAAACTAGCCAATTTGAAGAATTGATAAAAGATTGATCAGATGAATAGAGGCTTAATGACCTACAAGACAGTGTGAAGCACGCTAGCATATATGTGTAATGGAGAGAGAAGAAAAGAATGGAACAGAAAAATTATTTGAAGCGATGATTTTGCCAAATTTTCCTAAATTTGGTGGAAAACATCAACATTCAATCCAAGAAACTCAAGACACCAGCTGACTTCTCACTGAATTCCTTTTTTTAATTAATTAATTTTTTTTATCAAGGTATAGTTAATTTACGATATTATGTAAGTTTCAGGTGTACAACATAGCGATTCAAATTTTTGAGGATTATAATCTATTTATAGTTATCATAAAATGTTGGGTATAGTCCCTGTGCTGTACACTATATATCCTTGTAGCTTATCTATTTTATACGTAATAGTTTGAACCTCTGAATCCCCTCCCCCGTCTTGCCCCTCCCCCTTCCCTCTCCCCAGCAATAACCGTTAGCTTGTTCTCTGTATCTGTGAGTCTGCTCCTTTTTTCTTATATTCACTAGTTTGTTGTATTTTTTTAGATTCCACATATAAGTGATAGCGTACGATATTTGTCTGACTTAGTTTATTCACTAAGCACAACACCCTCCAAGTTCATGTTGTTGCCAGTGGCAGAATTGCATTCTTTTCTTGTCTGAGTAGTATTCCATGTCTCTGTGTGTGTGTGTGTGTGTGTGTGTGTGTACCACATTTTCCTTATCCACTCATGTATTGATGGACACTTAGGTTGCTTCCATGTCTTGGCTATTGTAAATAACGCTGCTGTGAACATTAAATTAGCATTTTTGTTCTCTGGATGCATCATCAGATCCTCCCGCATAGCCCATGAGGCTCTTCGCAGCCTTTCTCTGGCAGATCCCTCTAGTGTGCCACGCCCCCGCCTCTACCCCGGTCCTCCTGGAGGACCTGCTGGCTTTGAGCACCTCACACCTGCACTGTTCCCCACCTTTGACTCACAGCGTCCCTTGCCACTAACTTACCTAACATAAATTGCATTGTCCTTGGCACTTGCGTGTTCCCTTAGTACCCACTTCCTCCAGCATCTGTCCCTACAGGTCCCTGCTTCCAAAAGAAGGTTCTTTCAGAGCCCAGGGACCAATTGTCCCGTTAACATCTTGTCGTGGCTATAAACAGACCCTTCTTTTTTAATTTTTCTGACCTAAACTTACTTCTCCTCTACGCCTAGACCGTCCCCGAGCTTTTACTAGGAAATCTTTGTGACTTGCCATACGCCCCGTTGGGGACTTTCGTGCCATCGCACCACCTGGCTCTTTAAACGGGTCTCATTGCAGCCCATCGTTCCGCACACGCTGTGAGCTAAATGTAGTCGAGCTGATTTCTTCCCGAGACCCCGTGAGCCGTTTCTGGGTGCTTTCTGGGAATTGTGACTTGGGCTGCAGAGGGAGGGAGAGGAAAGTCCACTTGCACCCTGGAAGATGCGAGGGGGTTCGACTGGGGACAGTCAGTGGGCACCAGCTCCCTCTTGCAGGCAGCCCCTTGGAGATGCGCCCTCGGGTTCTGTTCTCAGCAGTTAGGCTCAGAGCCTCCCACGCTGCCCTTGTTCCCGGCACGCACCTCTCACCAGGCACCGCTTCTCTTGGTGTCCTCCTGGGTCCGCTTGCCTGTGCACACACACTCTGTCCAACCGCCTCGACCTCCCGGGCTCACCCACAGGCTTGCTCCTTGTACTGCAGGCTCCAATCCCTCCCTTTTTTCTGGGCCTTCCACCACGGGTACCACGTGGAACACAGACGCAGCCTTATCCCTCCCTGTCTCGCACCGTTCAGCACTCAGTGCCCTTAGCAAGTAGCGTGACCATTACCATTTATCATCCAAACCAGAGCACTTAGCAGCGTGGGATTAATTGGGAAGTTAATTATGGGTGTGAAATGAGTTAATTGTTAGGCTGCAGCAACAGGCATGAGGGAACGGGACGGGGCTCCACGGTCCCCCTACTAGAAATGGGAGGCCCGAGACCCGCGGCTGGCTCCCGCCGTCTCTCCCCGGCCCACCCCGCCGGGCACATCGTTCCCCGCCTCCACTCAGCTGCAGGCGGCTCCCTTGCCCACGGGAGCATATGCCTCGTCCTCCAGGATTTAGCCTCGAGGTCCCCTGGCCCCCAGAACCGGAAGGCCGCCTGCGGCCTTGTTCCTTTCTGCGCCTCCCCCCGTCCCCTTCGCACACTGGCCCGCCTGCTAGAGCTTTCCATATGGGCCGAGTTACAGCGTTCTGTTTACTTGGCTGTTTGCTCTGGAAATGGCCAGGTAACGTGTGCTCGTCTGCGTGTGTGTGTTCAGGTCACATCGTCTTGGGCCTGGGTTTACCCCTCTGGGAACCTTGCTACTTTACGTTTCCTCCCCCTCCACTCAGCACCAAAAGAGACATGTCCTGACAGATTTAGAGCGGGTAGCTGTTGTATCAAGAGTGAGCAGGAAAATGACTTTCCGAGTCAGCTTTAAAATAATTTACTGGTCTTCCTGGTTTTACGTGCTGCCCTTACTCTGTGTAAATTCATTCGGCTTCCTTCCTAGTTGTGGTTGTTGTTTTTTTTTTTTCCTTAGAGAACTAAGATGAGGGTGGCTGGTTATGTGTGGCATACGGCTGTACATTTTGTATCACTGAGCTAGGCGGAGTAAGGAAAGGGGGCATATGCATGCGGCCTGGGGCGTGTTCTTTTCTATCCAGGGTGGATGCAAGTAGGCTTTTTGCAGAGAGGACAGTGCGCTCCTTCCCCCTGCTGGAAGGTTGTATTACTGCGCCCAGGCCCTTCTTTCTTTTTGAAACCCTTTGCTCTCTTTCAGAATGAGGTCAATGCCATCAAATGGGACCCTTCTGGGATGTTGCTAGCGTCCTGCTCTGATGACATGACATTAAAGGTAAAGCATTCTAAAAGGCTGAGCCGTTTGACCCCAGACGACCCCCTGTGCTCAGTGCTGGTCTTAACATTCACTGCTCCCCCAGCTGCATATTCTGTTCTGAGCGCTGTTCCCACTTGGCAAATGGCAAGTCGCTGTCCTGCAGTGACCTCCTGCTTCATCCTGCCCTTCCTGCGGCCTTTCTCATGGGCGCCCCCTAGTGTTCAGCCGGCCCCTCTGCTGGCCAGTCTGCCAGCTGCCCACCCCGCTGGGCGTGAGCTTCCCAGAGGCGGGAACCTAAGGAACGCTCCCAGCAGGGATGGTGGAGAACCTCCCCCGGTGGGAGAAGCAGCCGTTGCTCACCTTGTCCCCAATGTGTTCTCTAGATCTGGAGTATGAAGCAGGATACGTGTGTTCATGACCTTCAAGCTCACAGCAAAGAGATATATACCATAAAGTGGAGTCCCACCGGGCCAGCCACCAGCAACCCCAACTCCAACATCATGCTAGCAAGGTAAAGGGAAGACAGCCCTCAGCCTGGTCTCGGTTCCTAAAAGCAACCGTGCTCACTGTGGCTGAGCCAGCAACATGGCCGGGAAAAGTTATTCATATCCAGAGAGCCCAGAAAATATTGCCAAGTTGTCTTCCAAATGTGCTTACACCCTTCCAAAGTAAATGGAGAGACGGCTGATTTTGAAAGGGCCCCGAGACATAAATTATCACGTGATGGCTAACTTGAGGTAAGGACGGTCTTAACCATGAGGCTGGTGAGAGGAATCAGTATATGTCCAGGCGCCCGGCCCTTTGCTTTCCTGATGGAGAAAGGAAACGATTCGGCTTGGACCTCGGGCTTGGTGTACTTAGTCCAGCTTGGAGCTGCAGGGGGCGAGAATGCCGAATGGTGAGAAAGTCTCCCCAGCCGCAGCCAGATCTGACCTGACTGTTTATACAGTGAGCGCCCCCCTCCCGCCAAGACACCAGCACTGGCGGCAGAGGAGTGGCTAGTCAGTCAGATGCCAGAATTGAGAAGAGTGGTTGTAAGTCACCACAGTGGCCTCCGCAGGACCACATCACTTAGGCTGCGGTCAGCAGACTTGTCCCCGTGCTCATTGGACCCCATGCACAATATAATGTTCCAATCCCAATATGATATTTTTAACACGAACCTTTAGAAAAACGAACGAAAGAGATTCTGAGGCTGAATTTCCGGATTACTTAGGGGTCCGGAGGCCGTGATCCAACAGAGCGTGGGTGTGTGTTTAGCTGTTTGGCCTGGGAAAGACCAGGCTTGCAAGGAATGTTTCCCTGCCAGGAAGCAGGAGTGGGTTGGTTCTATATGGGTGCAGAGAACAGGGTTGTGGGGAGAAGTGGCAGGTGGTATGGCCCTCCTATAAATGAGGGAGAGCCCTCCGTCTTTGTTGTGTAGCTGTGGGGTGGGCGGCCTCGCCAGGCAGCAAGGACTCTTGTCACTGAAAGGACCGACCCCAGGCCACCTCTTAGAAAACACTGGACGGAAGTCCCACATTGGCTGAAAGGCCGACCCAGAAAGACATGAAGGCTGTTACTCTCTTATTTCAACTAACTGTCATGAAATCCACTTAAATGTCTAGGGTACAGAACGCTATCTTCTTTCTTTTCTTTATAACTTGGAAGGTGCTTTGTATCACGTGGCACCCGTTACGAGCGTACGCGATCCTTCTACTTAACGAGCATAAAGGGACATGCTGCTGCCTCTAAGTCCCTGCAGAGAGAAGGAGCGCCGGGTAAAGCATCTTTGTGCTGTGTACTCTTCTTTCAAATTTGGAAATTACTGAAATTTGCAGCTCCCAGGAGTGCGATTGTGTATTTGGATGCAATTATATTTTAATTGTGTACTCGCTCGGTTTGGTATTTCCCCAAATACGGCTCTCAGCACTGTTTTAGTTGGCAATGATAGATGTTGTGTTGGTAAGTTGTGGGAGCACTTTAGAAAATGTAGTGAATACAAAAGTACATATCATTCATATCTTAGAAAAACACACAGACAAATGAGTGTGGATGTCAGTTTGTTTCCCTCGTAACAGCACCCAAAAAAAGGAGAAGATTTGTTTTACGACCATGGCTTTGTTTTCAGTATATCTGGTTCACGGTTTAGAAGAGGAAGAGTGTACCCGCTTGTTGTCTCTCGAAACGTAAGAGCCAGGAAGGGAAAGCAGCGCCCGCTGTCCGTGCCGCGTCTTGGGGAAACAGTCGGGAACCCGCGTGTGTTGTGGTGACGTTTTCTCTCCCGTCTTTGCAGTGCTTCGTTCGATTCTACAGTTCGACTGTGGGACGTGGAGCGGGGTGTTTGCATCCACACACTCACCAAACACCAGGAACCAGTCTATAGTGTAGCTTTTAGCCCCGACGGGAAGCACTTGGCCAGCGGCTCCTTTGACAAGTGTGTGCACATCTGGAACACTCAGGTAATCCCTGATTCCCACTGCCCACTCCTCTCCAGAGGGAGCGCCCCCATAGTCGTGTTTTTGGTGGCCCACGCCCGGAACAGCAACCAGGGAATGAGTGTGTGCTCAGGAATGCCTCACCTCAGACGCGGGGCCGTGACACAAACCCCAGCTCCCCGGGTGGACCCCAGACCCAGTGCCATCTGCCCTGTGTTCCGTGGGGGCGGTCGGTCTTCCCCGCCAGAGATGCCCATCGACTCGTTACTTTTTCTGAGTCCTTGGCAGGTAAGCCTTCCACCTGCCACTTCCTTCTCTTAGGCATGAGGAGTCACCTTGGAAGATCGTAACCCAGTCATCTTCCCACCCGAGACGCTGCCCTGTGGGTACTAAGGTCTAGGTCAGAAGTGTCATTCCATCCGAGCTTTCCAGGGAGAACGGCCGTCCGGGGCGGGGAGGCCAGCCCTGACCGCCTCTGCTCCACACCAGCTCCTGTAGCTTCTTCAGGGAACAAATCAAGGACCATGGGGAATATTCGTTGGCTGTTGTCATGGCATTTTGATTTTTTGAAGGGAAGTGTTTTATGTTTGGGTAGCAGCAGGAATGTCCCTGTTGGTTATGCTGTCACAGAAGTAAAAGGAGACGGTGTTTGAATATACTGGGCTCTTGTGTCTCCTGCTAATGGAAGAGAGAAATGTGCTATGGGAGGGAACACTGAAGACAGCCAGCAGTCCATCCTGTGTGGCCTCAGGATGGATGAAATGGCCTTTCCTCTCCTGGTTTTCTGGGGTTTTTTTTGTTTGTTTGTTTCGTTTTGTTTTTTGTTTTTGTATTTTTTGGCCACCGTGTGCAGCACGTGGGATCTTAGTTCCCCGACCAGGGATTGAACTCGTGCCCCCTGCAGTGGAAGCGCGGAGTCCTAACCACTGGACCGCCAGGGAAATCCCTCCCCTCCTGTTTGTTCCCACGCTCCTTCCTGATCCCTTTAGGCCTGGGTGGCATTTGGATGAGTGTACTTTCTCAAGCCCGCTCCCCCTTGTGGCTGGTGCAGGGGGGCGGTGCGGGAGCCACATTAGCTGGCGGGGCAGGGGGCGGGGTGGGGCCCGAGGGTGGTCCACTGAGACCTCAGGCTTTCCAGGAGCCGCCTCACATGCTCATGTCTTCTCCGCGCGTAAGAGGCGACGGTGGCCCTTACGTGGAGCCAGCCTGGTGCCGGGGCCACCCGGAAAACAGACATTAACGTGTAGCAGTCTGTTCATGGAGCTCTCGCTGGAAATAGTGATGGATGGATTTCTGAAATGACACCATCAGTTAGATAACTCCTGCTGTCAGCAAGTCATTAAATCATTTTACCCCTTTATTTACTTTTTTTTATAAGTCACAGAACTCTTTGAGACATGTCGAGGGTCTCTTTAATCCTCAGTGCGATGGACGCCTTCTCTAAATATAAACACACGCGAGATCTTGTTGACGTGCCCCTTCCCCGGCTGCCTCAGTCCCCCTGCCACCCTCAGTCGCTGGCCCCCGGGAATGACCCCTGGGAGGCATGACCTCGGCTGCAACATGTTTAGGTCGACTCCGCGGGCTGCCGTAGGTCAGCTGTGCCCCCCGTGGCAGCAGGTCTGAGAGGCGCGTTACGGCCACTGAAAACTCCGTTACCTTCTATGTTTGAAAGTTTCTGTGCTGACACCCTGGGGGTCCACGTCGGCGCTCTGCATCGCGAGTGATGGTGGCTTTGCTTTGCAGAGCGGAAGTCTCGTCCACAGCTACCGAGGCACCGGCGGCATCTTCGAGGTGTGCTGGAACGCCCGAGGGGACAAAGTGGGCGCCAGTGCGTCGGATGGCTCCGTAAGCAGCACCCGTAGTTTCCTGGGGGGCGGAGGGCTCGGCGGTGGAGACGCGAAAAGTCAGACCCCTGATACCCGCGGGGGCTTCCGGCGCTGTGGTGGCCTCCGAGCGCCGCGGCCAGTGTGTTGGTGAAGGAAAGTTCTGAGCTGGCACCGCCTCTGGGAGCAGCCGTCTCTCTGACTTCCTGAATGACGTTTTCTCGGTGAAATTGGTGGTCCGCAACCGGGGTGATTCTGCCCCTGGAGGACATCTGCAATGTCTGGAGGCGCTTTGGGTGCCACCGCTGTGGTCGGGGGGCTACTGGCATCTGGTGGGTGGAGGCCAGGGCTGCTGCTCAGACCTCCTGCAGGGCACAGGACGCCCACAGGAGAGACGTGACCGGCCCCAAGGAGGGCAGGTGCCGAGGATGAGAAACTTGGTCCTATCTTGGCTCCCAGCCTGCTGGGCCCTCTGGTGATAAAGGCCCGACTTTGCATTCCACGGGTCTCCGGGGTCCCAGTGGCCCTCTGTTGATCCCCTAAGATGTCTAGCTTTTGGATTCACGCCTGCACTTGGAATTGCCATGAGCTGTAGGGCAGGTGGCAATGGGCTGGCTGGCCAGATGTCAGCCCGGCCCCCAGATGTGTGCTCAGGCGTGTTTTGCCCTCTGCCCCGCCATGTCGGTGTCTGGTCTGTGACACCCGCCGATGGCTGTGGCCACCCCATTAGTTCCTAGCATAGCCCTTGACCTGGCTGTTCCCCTCTATCCTGTTTGCCTGGGGTTGGTTGGTCAGATGCTCAGACGTTAGTCTGTCGTTAGAGATGCTCTGAACCCTCTCTACTGTGTACCAATAAAACTTTGTCAGAAGTGGGTAACAGGCTGGATTTGGTCCACGGGCCGTTTGCCATCCTCTGCTCTAAAGGCGTCTTGTGTCGTGTCTCGAGATAACAGGAACTTTCTCTTTCCTTCCAGGTGTGTGTCTTAGATCTGCGAAAGTAAACACGAAATATTTTAGAAACAAGAAGAGAATTCTAACGGACCAGCAGTGAATGTGTGGGGTTGTAGCACTATTCAAACACGATTCTGTCAGCTCCAAAACTGTATGAACTTGACCTTAGAGTGTACTTTGAAATCAACTCATCCCTGGCCACAGGAGTCTCTATTTTTTTGTAATCTTTATCAAGAAGTTTAAAACAAAAGCATACACACAGTCATATCAAAGGGGGAAAAGAATGGTTTCCACCTGGAACATTCAGCCTGGGAAGCACGAAGCCACCAGCTAGACGGTGCGCGGTTTGGTTTCCATCCAGAACAGGCTCTGATGGCTGAGAGAAAAAAAAAAAAAAAAAAAAAAAAAAACTGTGCCAAAAAGAAAAAGAAAAAAAATGCTGTGATAAACCAAAAGGGGGGTGGGGAACTCCTCACGTGGAGGGTTTTTTTTTTTTTTTTTTTCTTCCTGAAAATTTGGACACTACAGTTACTCTCACCAGGATGTTCAAAGACCAGTTTGTACGGATGACATGGGCAACTTTGTAATCCCAACACTTTCTATTTTCTAGACTCTTTGTCACGTGGTTTTTCTATGGGCTGGAATCCTGTCGTCTGGGGGCCTTGGGTCTGAGGTGGAAACTGTTTTGGGTTTGTTGCTTCTTTGCTGATGTCGCGTGCCCCCTCCACCTCCTTCCTTCCTTCCTTCGTGGTCTTGGTTGGCATCACGCCCTCACAGAGTCTCTGACAGGCGGGGCTTTCTCGCCCTCCCCTCCCCCCCCCCCCCCTCGCGCACTCTCTCCGCCCCTTCCTCATAGTTGCTTCCCATCTTAGGTCTCAAGGGCACTTTTGACGCATAATAAGTGCTTTATGTAAGAAGGCAGGGCAGGGGGACTTTTTACCGGAGGAAAAAAAAAATAAGTGACTTATAAGAGAAAGAACCCAGAGTATTTTTGGAGAAAAAAAATATTTTTATGTTAAAACAATTTTAAAATCCTAAAATGGCCATCAGACATAGAGAGCTTTGTGTGATTCATATTTAAAAAAAAAATAAAGTTTAGGAAGACACAGGCAGGGTCTGAGGTAGCTTTTTCCCTTCACTTTCAGCCTGTCGAGAGGCAGTGAGGAATCTGTGTGGGAAGGGGCCAGCTCTGGGGTCGGCGTTGGGACTGTTCTACGGCCAGAGAGGAAACTCCGGGCCCTTCCAGCTCGAAGACGACCTTGGCGTGTTTCAGGGTGTGTTGACCACATAGTAGGCGGCAGGAGAGACCTGGAGAAGCGTGCCTTTGGACCCAAGAAGTGTTCCCAGGACCAGCGGCGTGGAAGGGGCCGTCACAGCCGTCCACTGGGTAGGATGCCGCCTGGCATCGTTCAGGCCGCGGGGCCACCTGTGGTCCCCCCACCAAGAGCACCTCGGCCGGTCCTTGCACAGCTGACGGGACGGGCTCCAGGATCTCACTGGGTCTAATATCGACAAAAACGAACAGGGAGAGAGGTTTTCGGTCCTGAAGGTGAATTCCGTAGGTAGAGTGTCACTAATAATTTCTGTCCCCTTCATAGTTTCTTCCTCTTGCAACAGAGGAGGAGAAAGGTTTTCTTTTTGTAATAATGAATCTTTTTACTGTTTTTAAAAAATTAAACGTGGCTTTGTGTTCCTAGAGGAGTTTCCTTTCATTGGATCAGGTAACCTTTGTACTTTTGTTGTCATAACCCGACGCTGACCCATCTTTTAAATTAGCAGCGGGGGAAGCAGCGGAAGACAGGGCCTCTGGGTTCATCCGTCTTCCTGCAGCCACAGGCCGGGATGGGGCAGGGGGCCGGGCCCGGGGGGCTGGCGGCAGGCAGGATGCAGCCGTGTGTGTGTGTGTTCCAGCAACAAGGCCCGATGTCACTTAGAGGGTGTTGTCTGTCCGTGGAGTCAAAAGCTAACGGGCAGAGCAGACCAGGCCCTCCTGCAAAACTCGGGTTGTCCCGGGACCAGCCCCGAGAGCCAGAGTGCATTCATCTTCCTCGGATCATTAACGGGCCTCCATGGATCTGCGAGTTATTCGAGCCCCGTCTGTAGGAGACCAACAAGCGCCCTGTTTATGTGGGAGTGGAGCATTTTACTCGGGATCTGTTACCTAAACGCTTGGCCTTTAAGAAGATCAAAGTTCTCCAGAGTCTCCACTGCCGTCTGTGAAGATGGCAGACATCCCCAGGTGCACTGGTAACGCCCTGCCACCAAGAAGTTACTAGGTTTGGGGTGCAGCTTGGGGGGATCTAGACGAACACCATCTGGACCCCCTCACGCAATGAAAATGTGTCACGTCTGCAGGCATCAGCTGTCCAGGGTCAGGACACAGTTTGCGTTTGACAAGCCAAAGCCTGCCGGCGGGTGAAGACAGTCGGTTTGCGACACGATGCTCACCGGACGGTCGGCACCCAGGGTCTCCAAGCGCTGACTTTAGCCTCTTGGTAAATCTGAACCAGTTGGGACTTGCCGGGTTGGAGCCGAGGGCTGTGAGGCCGCTGACACGGGGGCTCGATCCCGGGCCTGGCAGTGACCTGAGGCTAAGGAAGGCGGACCGTCCGCGTTCCTGGCGTCCTCGGCCGGCCACTGGGAGGGAGCCTCGCAGGGGCCCCAGGGAGGCAAGACGAGGAGGCAGCCAGCGCCCCTGGAAACCCGTCCCCACTCGCAGCAGGACGGCAGCCGTGCCCTGAGCCGCAGACGCTGCTTACCAGCTGCACCGTGCCAGCCAGCGCTCAGCGGACGCGTCCCTGTCATCGGTGCCCCGTGGCTCGTGTTAGCGTTGGACGTCATCTACAGCTTCTAACACTTGGAAGTAAAAGCTTCAGTCTCAGTGACCAAATGGGACCTTGATTCTGAAAGCAGGGGTAACACAACGATTCTCCCCGGAATTTTCGGTTGGGTTTGCAGGGACTGAGAACTCATTCTGCACACACCTGGGAAAGGGATGCTGCCCCACGGGGCACATCTGACCCCACATGACACCCAGGACGTGACGTTCGTGTTGTCTTTCTAAAAATAGATCTTGGAGCCAAGTGAAGTGCACTTTGTCAAACGTAAGGGTCTGCTTTTGTTCCTTCTTGTTTTCTCTTTTAACCTCTGTTCCACCTTTTTTCTTTTTTTAATCGTGTTTCTTGTCAAATGCAGAATCGTTCCTCCCGCCGCTCACTGAGGTGAATTCTGGCTTCTGCGGTTTTTATTGTCTGTGTCAGACGTGCAGCCAGATGTGCTTCTGTCCGCGTTTTCCAGATTCTGTTCCATCCACACGGCCCCCGTCTCGTTCTCCCCCCCGCCCCTCACCCTCACGCGCTCCCAGAAAGAGAATCACCTTGTGCGTCATAGCTCATTTGTTTCAAGAGAGAATCAACAGATCATATTCAGTGTCTTGAATAAATTGCTCTATTTTGATAGAGAACTTGGTGGGTGTGCTTTCTTCGTCTTGGTCGGCACCTCTGGGGCCCACGCTGACACCCCTGAGTGTAGACAGAGCTCTGCGTTTTCTCCAGGAATAAATGGGAGGGCCGCTTTCGGGGTCGCGATGGCAGGAGGGTCAGCTGCCCCGTTACGCTATAAAGGGAGCATGCTTTTTAGTACGTTTCCTTTGTTACTGTGTTTCAGGCTGGCTGTTGTAGAAAGTCAAAGCGGATGAATTTTCTCCCGTCACGTGGGGTTGGTTTGCTGGGAGTTGGAGTTCAAGGATGAGCTTGGAGTAGTTAGCAGAACCTAAGGTGGCAGGATACTGATGAGCGGACACTGGGCACGCTGCAGACAGACATCTGGAAACGTTGACCGGAGTCTGCTCTGTGCCAGCCCCGGCCAGGTGTTTCCATTGATGCCGCTTTCGTCAGTGAACGGATGTGACGTAATTGAATTGAGCTGCTGTCCCCGTGGTAGGCAGACGCAACGAGACGGGCTGCGTTTGGCTGTACACATGAGTCACAAAAGAAGGTCGTGGTGCCATTTCCTCTAATCGCAGCTTGATCCTGGGCTGGAACAGAGCCAGGGGCTGGCCCACCCCTTTCTCCGCCCCAGTGTTGTGTGGGGTTCAGCCTTGCCTGGTTTTGTTTTTCTCTTTTTTAAGTCTTGCCAAGTTGACCAAGCGTGTTCCCACATGGTGGATTTGGGGTGAAGCTCTGAGCACCCCAAGCCCTGCTGCTAAAGCCACGGGGAGGCCCCGGGGAGACCTTTGTAGCAAACACAGTGGGCTTGCACAGCGCGGGGCAGAGCTTCTCAGGATAGATGCGTGTGGGACGCGGGCTCTGGTGGCTTCAGCAACGATGCTGGTGGCATATTCATAGCTTCGAAGGGGTTTCTTTGTGCTGTGAAGGAAACTGGGTTGAATCCAGATTGTCCAGCTTTCATCTTCAGATGCATGGAACCCATTGCCGCAGTGATTCTAAAAATGTTTTGTCCGTTGAGGCTCCCACTTTATTTCGGGAACCCAAGTTTCCCCTCACTGCGCAGAGACCTTTTTTTTTTTTTTTTTTTTTTGGCTGCCCACAGCTGGGTGCTGTTCCTAAGGGTCCTTGAGGTGTTCCTTATATTCACGGAAAGGTTTCTGTGCACCTGTGGATGCTGGTGGTGGTCACTGTTGGTGGAAGCCTGGAAATCACTTGGTGAGATGCATGAAAAGGGCTGGGAGAGGGTGGGAAGCAGATAACGTACCCTTACAAAAAGACTCAGAATTGGGTGGAATGTTGTTTTTCTTTTTCTTCCAGTCTGGCTCCTTTTTCTCCCAAGTGTCTTCATCCATTTGCAAGGTAAGCAAAGGAAGACTCAGCTCCACCTGGAGGACCACGTGGGGGTCGCGGGGAGGGGGACCCGTGATGGGGGAGGGCTTGGGGAGCCTCGGGGGGGGGGGAGGGTGGGGGGCGGTACCCATGGTGGAAGGAAGCAGGGACTGTTACAGTATTACCTTCTCCTAAAACTTGAAGTTAAATCCTCTGGGGGATGGGGACTCCTATTAGGAATATACTTACCCTAGAGCAAAGTTCTTGAGAGAAACGGCCACCAGAAAACACAACTGTAAAGGACGAAGAGGGTATCTTTGGAATAGGGGGAATAAGTAGACTCATTTAAACGTTTCTTAAGGTGTGGTAAATAAGCTGGCCAATAAATTGAAATCAAACAGAAGCCACCTGATAGGAGCAGGCTTATGTTTGCACCCAAGCTACACTTCCAGCTACACCTGTCACGTGCAAACTCCTGGCTCTGGGTCCCAGTTCCGTCCCCTTTTCAAGAACCTTCCCATCTCCCATCACCATCGGTTCCTCTCCCCTAGATCTTTCCCCTTATCGTCCCAGCTACCGTCTACAAAACAGTAACATAGCAGCCCCCTGCAGCAGCCAGCCTGACACGGAAGTTGCTGAAAGCCAGGCGTGGTCTGCCGTGATCTGCTGTGCTCGCTTGTTATTCCCCGGAGTGACTGATAGCATCTCTGTCCCCAGTGCCCAGGTGTAGCTTAGGGCGTGGCACGTAGCCACGGGAAGGTATCCACTCACCGGCTCACTCTGCCTCCATCCCAATTGAAACCACCCTGCCAGCTGTGATGCTGACACCCCATCTACTGAGAGAGGTCCCTTTAACCAGATAGTCACAGCAGCCTGAGTTCTCACGTGCAAGCTCTGAACCTGACTGCGGCTAATGTAAAGCCAACAGAATGGGTGAGGATGACATTGAACACCTCGGGGGGAGTGTCTGGAGAACCAGGCTTGGGGGCCGTGTTCGGCTGCAGGATTGGGCCCATACACATAACACCAGGTGCAGACGCGGCGCTGGGAGCTGCCCACACCTTGATACTGGACACTGGGCTGGCCCCTGAAAGCACACCCCGGATGCCTTCCAAAGCAGACACACCAGCTGCCGACCCCTTTCCAGCAGTGCTTCTGCACGGCCCATTGCCTTGGGCACCAGCTTCCAACTTAGACTTGGGACACGAATCTGATTTTCTGCCAGGCCGATGCTTTGCTCTAGCTGCGAGGGAGCCTGGGAAAGTGAGCAGCTGGCAGCTTTGCTCTAGAGTGGGGTTGAGGCTGTGCCTCATTCAGCATGGGGAGTCCTCAGAGGACGGGCTTCTGATGCTGCGGGCAGATGGAATGTCGATGCAGAGATTAAGAATGCAGATGACACCCGGGAAGTTTAAACTCCTTCACACCTGCTGGACGCTTTGGGTCAAGGTGGCTGGGACGTCGGCCCATCTTTAGGAGCACGCAGCCCTGGGTAGCACGGTCACAGTCATAGGATGCTCTGAATCCATCTGCGGCCATGTGACTCCAAAAACACAAATCCAGAAGCATCCTGGACAGCTTTTCTAGAGCAGGATGGAGTCCTAGTCTTGATATAAACGAGGGTCACATGGCAGAGCTGACTGCAGTGTCCTGAGGAAATGGTGCCTTGCCTTTCGATAGACTTACCTAGGTGGCTTGCGTCTCCAGTGAACAGTATACACAGGATTTTTGCCCCCAGATATATATATATGTATATATATATATATGCACATGTATGTGTTCAGTATCTATAGTATACAGATTCTATGAACAGCCGACCGTCTGCACTGCCCATCCCCCGGCCAGCGGCTCCCGCGGGTGCGGAAGACCCTCCACGGGTGTGGACCAGAGCCTCTGGATTTCGAAATCGTGCGGGTCCTAG